GTTATACTCTCCCACCAATGCAGAACCACAGTTTTTTAGAAATTTACCCCCTTTATTCATTTATGCAGAGGCTTCAAGTGGGAACCAGGGCATAATTATGTACAAGCAAGTGGATCTACCCACTAGCTGCCTGCTACCCTTGCAATGGCAACCAAGATCCAATCAATACAATTATTAATTTTTTTTTTTAAGAACTAAATTACTAATCTCTTAAAAGTTATAAATGAGATTAACTTTCTGCATACACTCTTTATAGGCTGGTCTTCCCATGCACCACATTACCAGCAAATGTGATCTTCTTACTGAGGAAGGCCACTGCGTAGATGTGAGCACAGATAGTAAAGTTGAATTTCACTTCAATGCTCTCTTAGATGCTATTGCTGAAAACAGGGAAGAGGCCTCGGAGGATAAATCTTTAGAAGGTAATGATAAACACTAAAACTGTAATGACTCGTGTGTGAAACTTTTTTGTTCTTACTGCATTTTGAGGTCAACCGCAGTCTATTACAGAACAGACTGGTTTGATTGGTGAGGTATCATCTTAATGGAGCACTATGCTTAGCTGTGATTGGTTGGTTTTTAACAGCTGGGATTGGTGCATTTTGATGATGTGCTCTCTCAGCATAATAGTGTTGCAATTATAATGAGTCACACCAAAGATTTAATCATTTGTTATAAACATCTTGATCACCCCATTGTACTCTCTTGCACAGATAAAGTACAAGAGATGCACAGTTTGTTTTTGGAAGAGACCCAAGTATCATTTAGTGAAGTAAGTCTCCTTTCAAGTTGTCAGACATTTCCTTTCAAGTGTCTGAGGATGATGTAGTGATTTTGAAAGATAACACCCTCCTCACTTTCTTTTTTTCTTTTTGTTGTTGTTAATGAGTCGTTTTAAAGGAAATGAAGTTGATGTGTAACTGTATATGTCAATAACTTCAAGTTCAATCGGTTTGAGTGCTCTGTTTATCATCTTATGATCTTCATTTTCCAGCTTGAAGAAAAGCTGCTGCAATTTCACCTTGGAAATCTTGAGTTCAGCTGTGCAGCTCCACTCAGTAAAGTCTCGTCAATGTCCTGGGATCAAAATGAAGAGCTTCCTCAGTTTTGTGGTGATCATACTCTTCTTCAACATGGTTTTGGTGTTCTTCTGGACAAACTTGCTGAGAATTTGGACACCAAACTCCAGTATGAAGTATGTGAATGAAACTGTAGCATATTTGTTAAAGCTTTGAGAAGCAAGACACTTCAGGTTTCTGAGATAACAAGAGACTTCAGGCATTCAGTGCTTTTTGTTTGAGTGCAGCTTTAAACTTATTAATTTATGAAGTTATAAGTAACATGTAATTTAGAATGGTGTTACTAAGGGTGTGTGAGAAAGAGTGGGCTTATGGTTTGAGGTGCTGAACTTCAAATCAAAAGGTAATTTGGTATCATCAGCTGAGTTCATAACATAAATTGGCCACTGTTAATTAAGAGTTTCAAAGCTGACGTTTCGAGCATCAACCCTTTGTCAGTGTTTGCCCTTCTTCGTTTGCTCTGGCAAAGGGCTAATGCTCAAAATGTCAGCTTTGAAACTCCTCTTGGTGGCCAACATACATTATCAACTCAGGTGATAATACCAAATTACCTTGTTATATACTCCCTTGGATGGGAGCATATCTCCATTCACCCAGGGCTTTTAGTGACACACACTAAAATGTAATGATCTTGGACAAGTACCTATGAAGTATATAATGAAACTTTTTATTTCTTCAATCAGGTCAAAGAAATTAACTACAAAAGCAAAAGAGTAATCATTACAAGTTCTGATGGGAGGCAACTGATGGCAGACAAGGTATTTACATGTCATAATAACTGTAGATGTGACATTCAGGGTGACACAGCAGTTTACTTAGAGTTTTCAATAGTCCTGTGATGTAATGTAAAATTTTAAATGGATTAATTGGAGATATAGAGCTTGAGTGAATTATAGACTGAGATCCTAGTCTACCTTTGCCCATAAGATTTGATATGGTGAATCATTTTTGTGTATGATCAAAGAAAATTGCAAGTTAAAATTTAAATCATTTCTTTACTTCTCACTTTCAGGTGATTGTAACTGTTCCACTGTTCTTGCTGAAGTCAGGCAAACTTAAGTTCATTCCTGCACTCCCAATGAGGAAGCAAGCTGCTATATCAAATCTTGGAGCTGGTCTCATAGAAAAGGTGTGATTCATGTTAGCAGCCTGTTTTATTTGACAATGAATCAAGACATTTTGGTCAGTTTTTTGCTAATTTTTTTTTTCATATATCATGATTTCTTAATACTTTATCTCAGTGTGTCTATCTCGTGCCTAATTGGTTATTGAATCATTTGAATAAATTCCCTTTTTAATCTAACTCCAACCGTATCTCTCATCTGCTTGATTTAAATACCATGCATGGTGATTAGTTTTAAAAATTTCCATTTTTGGTGTTGCAGGTCATTTTAAAATTCAAATACAACTTTTGGGAAAAAGTTGTCCAAGAAGCAGATTTTTTTGGTCATGTTCCCCAATCACACAAAGGGCGCGGTCACTGTGGCCTCTTTTATAACTTGAGTAAAAAGGTAGTAATATGTGTTATCATACACAATGTGCAGTAAAGTCTTTTCCAATAGGTAAGAAAGAACTCTCTTCCAGCAACTATGCATTTCTCAGGGCTATGCAGTACGTTGGGATTGATTCAAAAGATGAATACCAAAGTAATTACAACAACCAATGAGAACAAATGGAAATGTCACAAAGAGCTAATAAGACCTTAAATAAAAACAGGCAACCTTCTTGAAAGCACAGGACAAGGCTAACCATTAACCCAGGATTACCCGGTTTTTTAAATTTTATACCTGATTGGTGAAGAGGTTGGTAAAAGTTTTCTGGACCCACAACAAAGCAAAGCAAAGGAAAACCAATGCAGTCCAGGATGACTCTGGACTTTCTTTTGAAAATGGCTCCGACTACCAGAAAAAAGAAAATTTTTTCAATAATTATTCACTTAGCCTGGATGATTAGTGCAGAGTATCTTGGTAAATTTTCTTAATTATATGTAATGCCTTTCTTTTGTTCAAAAGGGAAGTGAAAAAGGCAAAAAGACAAGCCATGTTCTAATGACTGTGTTATGTGGAGAGACAGCCTTACAAGCACAAACAATGACAGATAAGGAAGTCGTAGATTCATGCATGAATATACTTCGCAAGCTTTTCACTTACAAAGTAATGCAACTGGTTCACAATGACTTTGTGTTTTAACTTTTTTCTTTTTTTGTAGCCAAATAATTGTTATTTATCTCTTATTTGTTGAATGGTACAAAAAGAGCTAATAATCATGAGGCCATGCCTATTTAACACCTGTTTTTTTGCAGTTGTGAAAAAGTGTTCTGCAAATACTATGAAACCACTGAGAGGCTTATTTACATACATGTAAATGGCTTCCAGTTTGGTGTATGAGGAAGGAAGATTTTTTAAGATTAGGAGCTCACTGGGCTTTTAAGGGAGGAGAGGTTTTCTTAGAGAGTGGAGCTTGTTAGAGGAGGGAGCTTATCACAGAGGGAGAGCCAATCAGAGCAGTTATGGTAAATTTAAATAATATTGTCTAAACAAAGAGTGTAACTACTACTAACAGATTCCAGACCCTCAAGCATATTTGGTAACACACTGGGGGAAGGATCCCTACTCGGGCATGGCTTATTCATACATACCTATTGGTAGCACTGGAGAAGAGTACGATCATATGGCCTCTGAGGTTGATGACAAGTTATATTTTGCAGGAGAGGTCTGTATAAAGTTAATTGCCAAAGCCTTTTGGGAGATGAATTCACTTAGACAATCTTTGTACTCAGCACAAACATTCATGTGAGGAGAAACCTCTTAGAAACACCCAGTGCTTTCAAATTAATATGTGGGGGTGGAAAACAAACAGAACATCACTTTAGAGATTTTGTAAATGGACAGAAGCAGATATGAACAGTTTTAAGATCACATTTTAATTTTTAAACCCACTCCTGTTCTAGGCTACAAATCGACAATTTCCACAGACAGTTACAGGAGCTTACTTAAGTGGAATCAGAGAAGCAGACAAGATTATTTCATCTTTGGAAACTGAGACGTGACATGAGATGAAGATCGAGGTACCACAAGTCCGACAAATGCACAGTTCTGTGAAGACTGAGCAGAAACAGACACACATGTAAATGGAAGTACATCTTCTATCATTATAGGAAATATTGTTGGTTTGCTGATGAAAAACTTCCTTACAAGCTTCCATTCTCTACCTTTAAATCAATCTTTGAACTTCTGATTCACCCTTGCTCTTTTACCTTTCACTGGAGATTTGTAAAAGAACATGGCACTTTATCAAGACTTCCTTCTATAGCTGTGATGTGTTTCAGTAATTACCACCTTTTGCTATTTTACATGAAGATATTGAAAGGAGTTACAAATGAAGGACCTCTTGGAGTTAAAATGTTCTTTTGTGTAGTTGAAGTAGAACAGCAAGTATTAGTTAGTAGATATTTTTTTTGTTTTAGGGTATGTAGTAGAATATATTAGTTATTAGACATTTTGTTCCATGTTATGGCAGGGCTCCTTCCATTGTTGACAAAAGCAATTGCAAGTGCCTTCTTTTTGAGACATGTGATTAGTACAAAACAGATAAAATATTTGATGCAACCCAATTGAGATCATACCTAACACTCACTTGGGCAACAAATATTCTGCATCAGCTTAAGTGCACAATTTTAGCCCTACAGTGATCTCAATTGGCTGGCAAAAAAGGTGTAAACAGGTGAGCCAAATAAATTTATGTGAATTGTTTCTAGATATTACTCATAGCACATCTTATTTCTACAAGTTTCATCACAACATTCATTTGATAGAGTGTTTGTGGCTTATCAGTTATGGAATGTTTAGCTCAAGTTGTTATTCATCACTCTCCCTCCTCAACCCATCTTACAAAACAAAAACAAAAAATGAAAACATACCATCAAAATCCAAAGTTGCTTTAATTGCACTTGTAAGTTTTGGAAGCCTTAACATTGATTGACTTAACCAATAATCATGTAATCATGTGACCTTATGTGATGTTTCATGGCCGCTATGCAGCCTTAATGATATAAATGAGAATATCATCTTATTTTGGATGTTATCATGATTATCTTTGCATTTGATATTATGGCAGATATTATTTAATTAATTCAATGCATTATTTAAGACACCGAATAAAAAAAGTATTCCTTCAAAATAACACTGCTTTCAATGTTTCTTCACTATTTTGACTTTGTGTCAAACTCTTTGAGCAGTGAGCACTGTAAAGTTTTGTAGTATCTTATTGCGTACTGTAGAAATATCTAATCAGATCTGAGGTCTCTTTAATGGACAATTAGAAATACTAGCCCTTATAAATATTTTCATCAGAATAGCCAGTTCCACCCTCAAGTCTTGCCGTCAAGATGCAGAGGGAAAAATTTTAATGAACAAGGAATCCTACTGAACCCAGATTAAATGAATAACCACATAACAAAACAGGAAAGTGGCAGATACTTGTGAAAAATGTGGTGGAAAAATGGACTAAGGGTTGAATGTAAAGTATGCATAAGAAACATCACTTTGTGATTTGTGAACTAGTCTTTTAATTGGGTTAATTTGCACACCAAACTTTTAGTTACTGTTGAAAATTAAGAGAACCTTATGCAAATCGTGATGACATTGAGGATCTGGCAAAACAAAAGATCTCAAATACAGAAAAATAGCTTAGCCATGCATCTTAAAACTGTGTACATTTCTTAGCTGTCCTCTGTAAAACAATGTGAAATCATCAAAATTTACATGGCTTGAGGACAGGATCCCCAATGGCAAACTATTAAAGTTTCCATTTGGAACTCAACGTTGCATACAAATGTTTTACTGAAGTTGAGGTGTGCGCCTTGAGAAAGCATAAATGACTTTCAGCCTCCCATGGAATTTCAACCAAATATATAGATTCATTTTCTAATCAACGTCTTCCTCTGAGTTGCTGTCCTGACTCTTAAGGTCCAGACAGAGGGACCAACAGAAATTTTCCCAACATTGTGAATTTAACTGAACTTGTTCTTTTCTGCAATAGTTCCGAAACTACTTTACTCGTTCATGGGATTCTTTTGCAGGTGAGAGAAGATTAACTGTGGAGGATATTTCCTGGTAATATTAAAAAAAATTACTGTCAGCAAAATTAATTTTGGAATACTTTTTACATACCAAGACTAATTAAATCATAAAAAGTCCCCTGGAATAATGGAAACTGATCATCAGTTAGATAAGTGATCAATATTTGTAAATGGATGCTTCATCAACAAACAGTTATATTTTGTTATAATTATTTCACAGATGTTACCATTTTAGACCTAGCTGGGTCAGTGTATTGTGTTCTAGAATGAAGTTACTAGGCTGCACTTTCACATTGCTCCTTTTTACCCAGAACCTAGCTATTCAAAGGGTGGATAACTCTATCCAAAGGGTAAATCTCTATCTCAAGGATAGCACAGTAGGTTTTGATGACACTTACCCACTGAAAGGCAATTTACTGGTTGAATAGCATTATCTGCCCTAAGAACAACTCAGATATAAATTGATTTTTTAGCAGATGAGTGTGAACAAAACTCACTTTGCTACTCACCTGGCCCTGGTTGTTTGAAGGGAAGATAACACTATTCACTGGATAAACCTCTATCCAATGGATAGCGCAGTGTGCTTTGTTAACACTTCTCCGCTGTATAGCAATTTATCTGTTGGATAGTGTTATCCATCCTTCAAACAACTAGGGCCGGATTGAGATTTATTCAATGGAAAGCAAATGATCCTTCATTTCAACAACCAGGGCAAAGAATAAAAAAGTTTACCAGTGAATTATTTGTGAAACCTGACAAAATGCTTGATGGAACTTGATCCCATCCAGGAGGGAAAGCACTACTCTTGGTGATAAAAGATGAATTTCTCTTCACAATATCAATACATTTTCGTCCAGAAAGGTGACGAGAAGTAAGAAAAGTATCAAGTGGGGAAAATTGTTCACTAAATTCTCAAAAGTGAAATTATTAGAAACATATAGCAGACAGTAAAGAGAACTGATATCCAGATCATAGGAGTAAATGGATTAACTTGTATTTATTGATAAATTGTATAATTAAAGCAAACACTACCTCTCGGTATTTGGCAATCACTAAGTCTTTAATCTCTTGAGGTCTCAGAGGACCAAACAATTTTCTTTGCCTTATAACATAAACCTGGAAAGCAATTATAATATTTTAATAATGATATCACTATTGAATAGATAATGAATGGTGTTGTTATCCAACTGCACTAAAACATTGGACAGTTGGTTATTTTGTCCCAAAAAAAAAAAACCTGTTTCACTGATCAGCTGCATGCACTATGCTTCTCTGTCTAGTCTGCTTTTCCCACCTTTCAAGAAATGCAAATGAAATATAGCAGTTGGATAGTAATTAACTTATTAGAAGTTTTGGTGTGTAGTATCACTGAGTATCCCTGAGTATCCAAAATACGGCACAATTCATTAAAATACTCTGCGATACTACACACAAAAATGCCTACTAAGGAATATTTATTATCCAACTGCACTTAGAAGAGTGAAAAAAATTGCACAAAATGAGTATAATTATTCCCATGATTTGACTAACATGTAACTTCTCCCTATAATATTCATACATTATCCAGCAAACAGGTCATGAGAATACTGAAATTTTCAAGTAGAAGTTGTTGTCTTGATCTCACATCAAATTCTTGTTACTAATTTACAAGGAAAAGTGTTGCAGCAAGAGGGGAGAATTAACAATCAGATCTTGACATGCTGTTGTTAGGTTACTTACCTGCTCAGATGAGTTCATATACATTTCTCCAATAGGGGCTGCACTTATTTTCACTTCTAGCACACACAGTGGGGAATTTTCTAACTTGGTCAGTATAAACCTGATTTGGTAAAACATAAGTTAATCAATTGGGTGAAAATGACCTTGACTTTTAGGATTGATAGCAGGTAATTTAGTGTTAACAACTGAGTTGAAAACAAATTAGCCACTGTAAAGGGTAAAAAAGCTGACATTTTGAGCGTTAGCCCTTCGTCAGAGCGATTGGTTCAATTTATTCAATTGATTCTGACGAAGGGCTAACGCTCAAAACGTCAGCATTTTTACCCTCTATGAAGGCTAATTTACGTAATTCAACTCAGTTGTTAACACTAAATTACCTGCTATACTCTCCCACTGACGCAGCACTACAGTTTCTTTAGAAACTTACCCCTTCATTTTAGGGTTGATAGATTGTCATGGATACCTCACTGATTCCCTACAAATGATGCTGTATAGCTTAGCTAAATTTCAAAGCAGCAAATTCCAAGCTTATTCATTGCAATCATAACTTTACCCTTTCATTCAAAATATCTTAATGTCAATTTTTCTCACTGTCTGCCATACATCATGTACATCATAAACGTTAGCTCTGAGAATATAATCTTTAATCAAACAAAGTACAATGTTGATAATTATCTCCCTTCTCATAACCTTTCTGCTGGACGATATATGAATATTGTGAGGAGAAATTACTCACTGATCACTCCAATGATTCCTTGAATGATACCTCTCACCCTTGTGGGTGGAAAAGGATGATGCTTGATAGCAGCAATTTCAAAGTTTCTTGACTATAATCTTGAAAAAGAGTTACTGTACTCTACCTGCAAAGACTTGGAGACACTGTTGGTCTCATGTTTCTGACCTCTTTGTCAAATTCCAATCTGAAAAGGTCCTCCTGAGCTCTGTTGACATGACATCCTAAAATTTTGCCTGGTTGAAAGAAAAGATCAAGTCAGCACTCATCTGCCATGTGGTCCATCCTACTAGAGTTTACTCTGGTTCTGTAAGATGAAAAGGCTAAAAGGGAATTGCACTCCCCAGGGCGGGATACTCATCCACACAAGTTACCCTCCCCCTCCCCCTTGCCCCCCAGATTTTATCAGGTGCCCTGACAAGTTGCTGGTACCCAAGTATTCTCCTGGGCAAAGGGACACACATCATCATCAGGTTGAGTTTGCTCTGCTTTCCATGATAGGTTTCATCCATGCTTGTCTGTCATTAATAGCATCTGGAAGTTCTTCAATCCTACATTCTGTATCATCCATAAGATCGTTGATTTATGTTCTCTTTGGGCCCCCTGGTGCTCGTCTGTTATGAGTTGGATTTCGTAGTAGTACCTTCAGTAAAGGTAAGAGTCTTTCCTGAGAACACATCATGCAATGTGGCAGCAAGGTCTCAAAGATGGATTTCTCAACCTTGAGTCCAGTGCAATGAAGCCACTATGCTTATCTGGTGATACCTAAAAAACTTATATGTAATATCACATTAAATTCAAGAAGATTGTTAAGAGGAATTTTGAATTGACCTACTGATCAAAGTGAATGTTTCATTTACATAAAAAAATACCCTTAGGCTAACACCAAACACTTACAAGAGACAGGGTCAACTCCAAACACCAAGACACCTCCCTTTGTGTTCAGCAGTGCATTGACATATTTTGTGATAATCTAGAAAGAAGACAGGCTCCATTATCATTGTCTTCTGATGAGAAGTCCTCAAAATAGAAGCATATCACTGTAAACTATATGCATCTGCTCCAATACAGCGTGGTATTACATTTTGCCAATAAACAGATGAGGGTAGAGGGGGACGGGAAAGCCAGAAAGAGCAGAGATAGGGACCGTAGGAAAATAAGGGCTGAGAGGGGTGCAGAAAGAGAATAAATCAGGAATTATCAAAGGGCACAAAGTTTGAAAAAAATGGCAAGATTTATCATTCAGTAATCATTAATCTGCAGAGGTTGAGGTTCAAATTGAAAGTACAGGAGGTTTAATTTGACGGTGGTGTAAGGGAAGCAAGTGATTTTCACCTCCTTGTCTCTCCCACCCACCTCATGGAAGTTCCCTGAGGGATACCCCATTTTTGGAAAGAAAAAATAAACTCTTCCATCTTCATTGCTGGGGTATTTTCCACCTGCCTGCATCTTTACAACTAAAAAAGAAAATTAAAGAAAGAAAACAAACATAAAGTAAGGTATTGATACTATCTTAAAATGACTCTAAAACATCTCCTGATCAGTGTGTGAAAATCCACGAGCTCAAACCAGTTGATTTCAATCAATATGAATCGATCAAGCTTACTGATGTCGATCAACCATTTGACCTCTTAGAGTGACTAGTATCTTATTTCACATCAAGGTCACGAGAAGCGATCACTCCTTAAAGCGTTTGATTGTAAAACAAATTCTCCTTGTCAGCACCTGAGGAAATGTATAGAGAACAGTATGGAGAATATGCATACTGACGTTAGGGGCTAATCATTCAATATACACAGTACCGTTCATATTTCTTCAATTTACTTTTGTTCGTAACCACCTTGCGATCAGATTCCTCACTAATCGACACTAGATCTCTCTATCCTGCAAAAATTTCAATTTTCAATTCAACTTGATACCTCACTCATCAGTTGGCCTTGTATCCCATTCAACGTACATGAAAAAATTCCGAGAGCTCTCGAGCTGTCGATATGCATTGATCGATAGGAAAGTTTTAAGCCTCCAGTTTCGTTTTACTGGTGTAGCTAGGCCGTGATCTTTTTCTGTTTATCTTGAATGAAATGTTCATTTGCTCTTAATGTTCTAAAGTATCCTCATTCTCTCACCTGTTTTAAGAATGGGCAACAACTCAGCAAGCCATTGAATATAATATAGAATAACAGCCAATGATGGCGGGAAAGCTTCGAATCAAGCCTCGTTTTCATAGCATACTGAAGACTAGTTCCCAGGAAAACCCGTCTTTCAGACTGGATTTCAGACTTATTGAGAATGATGGGTAAAATATTTTTCCAAAAAAACAAATAGCGTGTGGGTGCTAATTGGAGAGTTGTAAACGTGTGCTTTGTTTGCAACGCAAAATTAGAGCGTGGACGCTTGGAGGAAGGAAATACCAGGCCTGACGAAGTACGGTATTTGATCTATAATGAGCATACCCTTTCCTTTTCAGGACAATTGTTTAACAATCAGAAGCTATAAAGGAATTATTTAAAATATGATTTTATTGGTGAAAGATTTAAGCGCTTCCTAATTATTTTTCGTGGAACTCGTATTTATCTAATAGGTTCTTTATTTTTTCACATCTCGTTAGCGCTTTTTTGTTTTTTTTGGTTTGTTAGCGTTTTTTTCTTCGTCAGTTGCACCTTTGCGCTCCTCCCTTGTATCACTCGTCATTTCGCAGTTCTCTTCAGATATAAAGCCAGTTTCCTCTACGCATAATCACTTTTTTACCTAAATTCGCGCTTGGCGCCGTTCTCTGTTTTGCGGTTTTATATTAGGCATTATCAAGGTGAGTATTTTTCCGTTTCGCTTCGTTTGTATTAATTTTTTGTTTATATTTTGTTTATTACTCGGGCTTCCTGTAGAATGCCCGAGTTATAAATTGGGCTTCGTTATCATTTTTAACTTGTGAATTGCACGCATGCGCAAGAGCGAGTTATAGATATGATGTGGAGAATGGCACTCGCTCGCTCGCTCGATTGGTCGATTCCTGTAAACTTTTTTCGATTTTAGGCTTTTGAGTGCATTTGATAGTTTTTGGCGATTAATAAACAAACGAAATGGCGACCTTCGTTGCTAAGAAGAGTGTTGGGGTGAAAAAGAAGCCGATGGTAATCTTAAAAGAGTTTTTTTTTTCATTTCAGTTTCAACAAGCGGCGTCAGCGACTGGCAGGAGTGCGATGATTCACACTGAAATAAGAGAACAACCTTCGTTTTTCATAAAATTGTAATTTACAATCCTTGAACTTGAAACAGATCCGAAGATTCATTAAAAATATCACTTACTTCGAAACACTCGGAGTTTACAGTTGTTCAAAAGCTTTTTCTGTAATGGCGTGAGATTGGGGACAAAATCGATCGTTACATTTCGTATCGTGTGTTTTTTCTGTGTGAAGCAACAGAAGGTGCCGGCGACTAACGAAATTACAGGTTAACACGAAAATCAAATAACACCTAAACAAATAATTTTGGCTACCGATTTTAAGTGAAATTTTAAAGAACAATTTTCTTTTAAGTTTCAAGAATATTTGAAGATTCAAAATTAATATTACGTACTAAAATGCGAAAGTTATACACCACAAAATTGATAAATAGGTCTGAAATGAAATTATATCTTGTTCTTGATTATACGTTGCCTAGCACGTGACAAAAATCTACCCAGGCGGAAATCCAAAATGACAGTGGCAGTCTGGGCTTAGTTATATCACTCAAAACTCGTTCCTGTTTGTCTCATTTGATAAAGAAGGATTCAGTAATGTTTTCATTAATACAGTATTGCCTTGATTTTCCAATATTTACAATGATAGACAGTAAATTTCACTTTTCACCTACATTTACTTCCAACCTTTTCTATTGAACCAGAAACAAAAATTATATATTTTTAAAGCACATGACATCATCCACCCCTGTCAAATGTAATAGCATGATCATTTCAATTGTAATGCCTTCTTATCCCAACGTTACTTTGTTTCTTTGCTACATCAGCGAACACTGAACTACTGCTCGTACTTTAAATATGACAATCGACCCTAAACCAGATAACATTAAACATAATCCAAAAAATCATATAAGTCATCTGTCAATTCACTAGTTTGCTCACAGAGCACTTTGATTCGTCTCGAGACGCGAAACGCAGTCTGGCAAGTAAAGCGCATGCGCTAAGTATGCTTTTTCAGTTGCGATGTAAGAGAGGAACAATACGGCATTTAAAGCACATGGCTTTCGGTTTTCGGAACGGGTCTGTCCACGAACTTTACAGGAGATAAACTTACGAACGAATACTTTTGAGTGAACCTACTATCGAGAACTATGCTATATCAAATGAACTATCTAGTGTAAGCTGAAGACCTATCCATGAGTATCTCAAGTATCTAGACGTGATCGTGAACCAAGTAGAATACCTATTCGAAATATGGAACGTCTGAAGAACAAGAGCAGAAAGGTTAGAATGTTTGTTTACTAACCATTCGTTCAACTATAGTCAAATCATCTCAATTGTATCAAATCTCTCTACCTTGCATAAATTTCAATTCAACTTGATACCTCACTGATCATTTGGCCTTTTGTCCCATTCAACACGAAAAAATTACGAGAGCTCACGAGCTGTTGATATGCATTGGTCGATAGGAAATTTTTAAGCCTCCAGTTTCGTTTTACTTGTGCAGCTAGCCCGTGATCTTTTTCTGTTTATCTTGAATGAAATGTTCGTTTGCTCTTAATATTCTTAAGTATCCTCATTCTCTCACCTGTTTTAAGAATGGGCAACAACTCAGCAAGTCATTGCATAAAATTTGAATCACAGCCAATGATGGCGGGAAAGCTTCGAATCAAGCCTCGTTTTCATTGCAGTCTGGAGACTAGTTCCCAGGAAAGCCCTTCTTTCAAACTGTACTACACAGATTGGGTAATATATTTTCCCAAAATAAAAAATAGCTTGTAGGTGCTAATTGGAGAGTTGCAAAGATGTGCTTTGTTTGCAAGTCAAAATTAGAGCGTGGACGCTTATTGAAGGAAATACCAGGCCTGATGAAATACGGTAATTGACCTGTAATTAGCATATCAATTTCCTTATCAGGACCTTAAAAGCTATTAAGAAATATTTATTATTTAAAATGTGATTTTATCAGTGAAAGATCTGAGCGCTTCTTAATTATTTTTCGTGGAGCTCGTATTTATCTAATCGGTTCCTTATTTTTTCACACCTCCTCGTTAGCGTTGTTTGTTTAGTTTGTTAGCGTTTTTTCTTCGTCAGTTACACCTTTTCGCACGTTCCTTATGCCGCACGTCATTTTGCAGTCCTCTTCAGATAGAAAGACAGTTTCTTCTACGCAAAAAAAGCTTTTCGAGTCAGTTTACCTAAATTCGTGCTTAGCGCCGTTCTCTGTTTTGGAAGTCGATTTGGTAAAGTTTCCGCACAGCCCCATACTATTGTAAAACAAATCTATTTTCCCAACGGAAATGTTGGGAAAAAAAAAATGTTTTTGTCATTGTTTTCTTTGTTCAAGAACTGAATGCATAATGTAGGATGGGGCTGTGCGGAAATTTTACCGTCGATTTTGCAGTTATATAAGTTAGGCGTTATCAATGTAAGTATTGAATTTTTTCCGTTTCGCTTCGTTTGTATCCATTTTTTGTTTGTGTTTGGTTTACTAGGTTACCCAATTAGGTTACTTAACTCTTATTTCTGTTTTAGTTTCAACCTACCCTTGCTGTTGCTCTCTAAGATAAAAGTACTTTCAGTTGTAAAGAAAACGTTTATGCTGTTGCAATTTGATCTCAATAATTTAAGACAGTCTACTTCCCAAATTTTAGGATGATATCATGGCGCACCTGTGCAGTATCAAAGATAGGTGAAGACCATTTGAATTTGCCTGATTAATACCTAATAAGCTTTTTTCTTTTGTAACATTTACCTTTCCTCTATTTTTTTTGTAGGAAATTTTTGTTGTAATTAGGTTTATTCAACCTTACGAGAGCACGTAAAAAGGCAGTCGCTCTGACGAAGGGCTAACGCCTAAAAATCAACTTTAGGAACTCATTATGGTGACCAATTTACACTATCTACTCAGTTGATGAGACCAAATAATCTCATATGTGTCGAAAACACATCTGAGAGTAATTACACTCTCAATGAAATTGAAACCATGTGAAATTGTGTCTGCAATTTTGACATTTATCGTGTAAATATCTTTGCCGTTTGCCACTGCCATGTATGGATGATTTTTCCGTTTTAATTATCGTAGAAGGACACCGTCTTCACTAATTTTCAAGAGACAGGAAAGAGACAAGTAAAGATATTTCTCCTTAATTGAAAACTGTAACATTTAACACACTGCTCCACAGCTGTATTTGCAGAGACTGTTAATTTCATCATCGATTCCCATTCTGTGACGTTGTACAGTTCAAACACAACTGGAATAAATTACGAAATTCTGCTCACCAGCTGCACGAAAAAATTAGAGCTCATTAACTAACAAAGAAAAAACTGTTCGGTTTAGCATTGATGTTTTTGTCACCCTGTAATCATTCGTTCTTCTAATCGGCAGCACGTATACGTAGAGTCAATCAAAAGCTGAAGTTACTAGGGCGGTTCAATTTCCATGAAAGTTTATTAAACTGAAATCACTAATTAAGTTTACGAGAAAGCTAAATTTTATATTTAAGCAAGGGGTAAGTTTCGAAAGAACCTGCGCTGTGGCGGTGGGAGTGTAAAAAAATAACCAGGTTTTATCAACTGAATTGATAATGTAAACTGCCACCGTTGCTTTCGAAGCCTTTACGGTAGCCAATTTTCAACTCGGTTGATAATATAAAACTTAAATATCTGAATTTAATTTTAGGTTATCAGTTGCTTGAGAATTTCTTCCAAGTTCATGATAACTGATCCGGTAAGCTTTTTGCCTAATTTACATTAAAGGTAATTGTCGTTTTGATACATAACTCAGCGTTGAATCTATTGGCGGTGGATAATTATAAGAGAGTGATAATGAACTATTGTGCCTTAATTTGTTATCACAGCAAAACATTTAAAGGAAGTTACAAGCTCTAAAGACCAACAGTGATAGTCGGAGAGCGCACTCGTTAAAACACTTGGTTAAAGTCAAATTGTAAGTTGTCTTCCTGTTCTGTTTTGTTGAATGTCTTCGTGGTTATGTTGTTCTAATTTCCTGGGTCTCAGTGGGTTTGTGCTATCTCATTTACACTTAGTTACACGATTGGTTTACTGTAAGAGCTTTGCAACAGGTATTTAACAAGGATCAAAGACATTATAATTGGACATTTCATTCCCTATTAACCCCCAAGGCAAATATTTCGTCGAATTTATGCGACGTATATCAACAGATATCACAAAGAGTTAAAAATTTTCAGTTTCTTATTGTAAGAAACGTTTTCTAAGGGTCTCGATGTTTCAACCGTCAAATGGCCAAAATCTTAACGGTTGATTACAAAAAGTTATCCAGTCATTGCCGAAAAATCTCTCTGAAATGGAATCAGAATTACCGGATGTAGGTAAGACATCGGCTTCAATATTTAGGTCATCATTTGTTCTCACATTTTTACACCTGTAGTGCTGAAATGACTTCCCTTTGGAAAACCTGTAGTTTCGAAAACATGTCACGTGCATTTTAGAAAGTGAAATACCATTTCACCTCAACAAGTCACTTGGCCGCTATTTTTTGGGAAGAACTTTTACAAAAAGGGTTTTTTTTAGCTTTGGAGTTAACAAAAAAAAAAAATCGGTGAGTAGAGCTGCTAACTTTTGGTTACGAAGAAGAGTGATCAAAATACACCAAAGCATTTGGTCATTATTCTTCGCTTGGGAGAGGGGGGGAGGGGGCTCTGTAATATTCTTATGACCCCGACCCCCTCCCCCTCATTAGCAATTAACTGGAAAGTCGATTTTCTATAGTTTTCCCGAACAAAAAAATATTAGTATCTGGGAAACTGCCCGCCTACTCCTCCCCTAACTCAAAAACAGTCAATTGACAACAATTTAAGGTTAATGTTGGTTTAGGGGAGGGGTAGGTGGGCAGTTGCCCAGATACTGATATTGATCCGTCTTCCCTTTAAATTCTGTTGGCGACTACTGATCCCTCACTCGGTTCCCCCTGAAAATTATGTGATCCCCAAACATCCTCTGCCCCGCCCTTAATGGACCTACTTAACTATGGTTGCTACATGGGGTTTACACTTGGCCTTGAGGACTTTATTCTACGCATGCGACAATTTTGTATAAGTTTTGCTTCATTTTCTCCTAATAGTATTCTTGCAGCAAGGAAATGGGTCGACAACAAGGTAACCTTATCTTGCTACTGATGAGCCTATCAAGCATGCTGGTCTGCGGATTAGGCAGTCACGTGGTACAAGACGAAACTGAGTACGTCATTATGTTTGATGCAGGCTCTACCAAAACAAAGCTTGAGATCTACAAGATTGACGTCGCCTCGCCCCCGTTAGAAGTAACAGACGTGCACGAACTTGATCCTTCAACCAGCAAAGCAAAACCAGGTATCGCCGACCTGGACCCATCGGAAATTGAGGCATATCTACGACCCTTACTGGATTCAGCGATGAAGACAATACCAGCGGAAAAACACCCCAGCACGCATCTATTCTTCCTCGCCACTGGAGGAATGAGACTGCTGGATGAAGATAAATCTAAGGCGATTATGGAGCAAGTAAAAGGAGTCTTGAACGATAAAGCTAAATGTCCATTTATGTTTGACTCCGAAGACGCCAGAGTGATCTCGGGGGCACTTGAAGGGATCTATGCCTGGATGTCTGTTAATTTTTTGGAGGGGAATTTTATCCCAGGGAAATCCCACCATACCTACGGGATATTGGATTTGGGCGGGGCTTCCCATCAAAATGCTGTCCAGTTTTGGCGAAAGAGGGATGATTTGTATTCAATCAATGTGGGAGGTAAAAAATTTAATCTTTTTGCCAGAAGTTATTTAGGGTATGGGTTGAATGAAGCTCGCAAAACATACCTTGAACGACTGCCAAAGAAACCTTTCAAAAATGGTGTTATCAAAAGTCCGTGTCACCATAAAGGTTTCAACGAAACAACTGATATCAGTGGTGAATTATTCACCGTCGTAGGAATTGCAAATGTTCCCGCCTGTCGAAGGATTATTGAGAAAACGTTTTTCTGCAAAAAGAGTGATTGCCCATTTCATGATCAGCCCAAATTACGCGGGAATTATTTTGGTTTTGCTGGTATATATTACGCTGCCACGACCATCGGGATATTGTGTTCCGATTGCACCAAACCCCTCTCACCAGCCATGTTTGATAAGGGATCGCGAGATTTTTGCGCTAAAACACTAGAGAGCATCAACAGCAACCCGTACGCCAAAGATCATTGCTTCGGAGGCAATTTCGTTTTTGAGCTTCTCACCCACGGTTACGGCTTGTCTGCTCACAAAACTATCATGGTTGGCAACACATTGGAAGGGTTTAGTTTGGGCTGGACCCTTGGCGCTGCTCTGTTCAATTCAGAATTGTTGTGAAAAAAAATACAAAGGTAGAATTCCTTATATAATCAGCCAATCAATGACATGCATTAGTTTATTCGGGGAAAAGTCATAAGTTAGAAGGGAGATTGAGCGGGTAGAGGTATTTAAAAAAGAATAAAGAATAAAGTGTAAAGGGATTTCAGGAAAACTATCGTTAGTTATTGGATATCTCAAGTTCTTTTCAATATGCAATAAAGTACGAAACATAACTCAGTCTGCGTGACTGTGATTTTCGTTCAAGAATTACATGTGAACTTAATAAAAAAGATATTTCCCAAAATTCATAAGGAAATCAGGAAGAGGGGTGGGGAAATTAGAAGCTATTTGAAATTGAATCATTTCGTCAATCATTAAAACCTGAAGCGAAGTATTCATTCGGATTTTCCCACGCGTCGATCACTTGTGAATTTTCATTGGCTTCCCTATGAAATCGTCGTGTTTTGAGAGGGTAATTTACCAACTGAGTTGATAACGTAAATTGGCCACCGTAAAGAATTACAATCGCTCTGGCGAAGAGCCAACATTCGAAATATCAGTTTTGAAACTCTTACGGTGATCAATTTACGTTATTACCTCTGTTGATAATACTAAATTACCCTATTATACTCTCCCACCGGAGCAGCACCACATTTTCTTTAGAAACTTAACCCCTTTACTCATAAGGTCATGTGATAACTTTGGTTTTTGATACAAGTTGTCCAAAAGCGTTTTGGTCTCGCACTCGATCGCCGTCGAACCATACCGGAAATAACCGAAGAGAGCCGAGTCTCGTCATTGAGCTTCGTCGCCCGGTTTTTTTGGTCGTTTTTACTGTTACAGAAAGACGCCCTTAAATTATCAGCTTGGACGGAAGAGAAACACCAGATTGGTGAATAGAGACAAAGGAGAACGAGGACAAGAGAACTAAACTCCCAAGAGTGACTGGAATCTTATTTCTCCTCACAATATCACCCACGAATCACTCATTAAGGTCACGAGAATAAAGGAAATGATCCCAACAAAAAAAGCTCTTTATTGTTAAACGAATTTTCCTCGTTGGCACCTTAGGAATGCCTATTGGTGCTAGGGTGTAAAGGGTTAAACGGATCGCAATTGAAACGCTTGAAATATTAGGTTGGACAACTGGCGGCCGATACGCAACTCCTCCATCTAAACAGGTGTTGATAAAAGCTCAGGGAGCAAATGTTGCCATCTACGTATTAAAGCAAACAATAAAATGCTAATCGATTGGATTTAAATGAAGTTTATTCGATTGCTGCGTAAATTCACAGGCATAATTCAGTAGTTCAGAGCTTGTTGAAAGCCACGACATCTACACTTTGAACCTGCAAGGCGCACAAAAAAAAAAATAAAAAAAAAATATATACATACCAATGAAAATTTCAACAAGGCCGGCTTAAGACAGACAAAAGGAATCGTGGAATAATTTCTGGCAGGTGTGGCAGGGAATTTGGCCACGAAAGAGGGCGTAGGGTATGCTGTGGACTCCTTAGGAAGAGGGGGCAGGGTGTGGTGTAGAATCCTTGGGAAGAGGGGGTAGGGTGTGGCGTAGACTCCTTGGGAAGAGGGGGTAAGGTGTAGTGGAGACTCCTTGGGAAGAGGGGTAGGGTGTAGTGGAGACTCCTTTGGAAGAGGGGATAGGGTGTCGTGGAGATTCCTTGAGAAGAGGGGGTAGGGTGTGGTGGAGACTTCTTTGGAAGAGGGGGTAGGGTGTGGTGGAGACTCCTTTACCATCTTGGTTCTTCCCCAATCTTAAGATTCCATTTACACCTAGGCAATCATAGAACTAATAAAAAACTATTGCAACTAATAATAATGATAATGATAAACGACTGTAGATGCATGTATTTCATATATTTGAAGATGAAAGTGATCATTGCAGTAATAAACACTACAAAAGCACTGGTGAAAATAAAGCTTGAAAAAAAAAATTCAGGCTTGTACCGTTTGTATTTTAAAACTGCTAATTAAAGTATTGTTCATAACCGCAACAATCTCTCTCATCTGCAGATAATAACAACAATAACAAAAATGACAAAAAGAACATAAATTACATGTAATTATACTTACTAAATCTTCAATCTCTGTGATTTTTTCCTCAAGGAAATCTGTACCACATTTCTCATCTTCAACCTTACAAGAGATCTGAAGTTTTTTGATGCCATATGCTACAGGCATAATCTTACCTAGGAACAAAGTGTAAGGTTTTACTCAGCAGCAGAACTCTCTCCTCATCTCCCGTGCAGCTTATCACATCAACTGATATACTTCATATCAAATGACAAAAATACATTATGTCCCATGGTGTGAATGTATAACAGATCAACCATTCTCTTTTGCCAGAATTAATATTAAACTTACTTGCTTGCCACTCCAATCCATCACATTCAATTGAACGAACAGCCTTTTCCATGGCAGCAATATCTGGACACAGGAAAGGATAAAGAATTGTCAATCATCATGTACCTTTCAGCAATCCCTAACTGACTGGCTGACTAACCAACTACCAAGCTGTAATCATTTTTCACTTCTAGAGAAAATTGTAGTAGAGTAACTTGAATTTGAAGCATGCTTGTTACAATTATTTAACAACATACAACTTTTCATGAGTTAAAGCTAAGAAATGGCAGAGAAATAGATACAACCCAATTTCACACACAAAACATGGAAAACATGATCATGGATCCAAACAGAAATTTCATCCAATAGCACCTTTGATTTCATGTTAGAAACTACTAGAAATGAAATCTCAGATACTGGAACAGTCATAAGGGAGGAGAGTACAAAATTTCTGGCCTAGGAGATTTTATTGGTTAAAAAGTAGTGTAGTCAAACTTGATCTAGCCACATCAAATTTAATTCCCTGTTGCCTAGCTGACTCATACAAGCAAGTTATAAGGTATATAAAACAAACCTGTTTCATCATCCCACTGTGACAGGAAAATTAAGCAAAAAAAGAATAAAGGAATAAATAAAGTTAAAACACAACAACACTAATAATGATAATGATGACGATGATGATGATGAGAGTGATATCCATAGTGATAATTATAATGAAAATAAAATGATGAGAATGATGATGATAATAACAATCACATAATATACTACTTCCTCAATAGGGCCTCTAAGGGCCCAAATGAACAAACAATGAAAAAACTATTCAAATAAACACAACTTGGCTTAAGATGCTGACTGGCAAGGGGTGGATCAATTGGTTACTGAAATACTCAAGCCAGAGACTTGAACTTGGGACAACTACACAAGTTAAATTTGCTGGCTCGACTTTGTACAAAACTTATCTCAATTTGAAGAGCAAAGTAAATACTTTAACCCCTAAACTCCCAAGATCTGATAGTTAACTCTCCCTTCTTGCTATTACACATTTCCTTGTAAATAAGTTATGAGAACTTGGTTTTAGATTGAGATAACAATTACTACCTGGTAAGTTTGAATATTCTCGTGACCTGTTTGCTGGCTAATGTTTAGATATTGTAGGGGGAAGTCACATGTTAATCACTTCTGGAAGTTAAAGGGTTAAAGGGTTAAAGGGCTAAACACTCCTCATTTTGAGAGACTTCACACTATTTTGGGCTAATTTGAACTACATGATTACTTGTACAACCCATAGCTTCTAAAACAGAAAATATTAATTTTCAACAACAATGACCTTCCCCATTACAACTTTATAACATTTAAGTATCATCATACCGGTTTTATATCCAATATGATATTTGATTTTGCTATTAGTGCTGGTTCTAAAATAAAAATGCACAATCAAGCTATTAGCATAAGACATGAATAAGGATTTCAGTGCATCAGATTAAGAGGTTCAGTACAGGAGGAAATTTCTTGGTAATGCCTTTCTCTTGAGAGAGATTGGAATGACAAGGCACACTGCTAGTATGATATGCTGTCAGTGGTGACTGGTGCACCCAACCACAGATTTAGAAATAGAGATTTGACTCCAAGCCAGGTCATTCTGTTGTGTGGCTCAAACCCCCTTAGCCTTAAATAAGGCCTCTCTGACTCTAATAGTTTAAATGTGTACTAATAGTCTGAAAACCTAAATGAAATAAAAAGTTCTACTTGGGATGGAGTGGTACCTCACCCATGAGATATGTCCAGGCAATAACCAGTCACTACAACATCAACAACTTTTGGCCTCCTGTAAAAAAAAAAAACAACTTACTTTTTGCTTTCTTAGCTGCATATTGTGCCAGTCTTTCTTTTGTGACCTCATCTTCCTTTGAAATCAAAGAAAAAACATGAGTTTACGGCTTGTTCTATAACTGGAAGATATAACTCCTGAGCCATCAGATAAACACAGCGTTCTGTGAACTTGGGTCAAGACTTAGATAAGTAAAGAATATCACACATATTATCTGACATGTCATAATAGTTGCAATTTCTTTATTGTCCTAAAAATTAGCAATTATCTTTAGGGCTAAATGCATAACTGTCCTGCAGGGAAGTTTCCTTTTCTAATTTCCTTGTTTTCACTCAGATTCCTAAGATTCCAAGCAAGTAGAACAAAAATGCCCTCTTTTAAAGTGGATTTCCTCAAAACCTCATTCAATTTTCTTGAACCCTTTATACCCTAACGTCAGTATGCATATTCACCATACTGTTCTCCATAAAGTTCCGACTGTGCTGACAAGGAGAGTTTTTTAAACCATCAAGAGTTTCTTTAGTTTGTGATAGTTTCCCCGATTCTCATTACCTTAAAGTTTGATCCAGGGATAACACTGTTAGGAGAAATTACAATGCAAGCAACTCTTAAGACTCCTAAGAGTTAAAACAAGACGTCAAGAAAATCACCTCTTCATCTTCATCATCATCTGAGCCAAACAAGTCAAAGTCCTCATCATCTTCATCTTCCTTGGATTCCTCCTTCATCTGAGGCTAAAATGCAGGAAAGGAAAAAAAGTGATAAATTCTAGTCAGCAAGAAGTCATCCAAAAGAATTTCTGAATGAGATACCTGTAAATGATTTCAAATTACTGTACAGAAGAAGAGTTGTCGAGAGAGATCTTGGTGGTTTTTTTATATGAGGGAGGGGAGGGAGTTAAAGCATGTCTTTAAATCACTGTTCACAGTCAGGTTTCTTGAATGTCCATATTTTGGGTTGGTTAATCCTTTAAGTCCCAGAAGTCACTAACATGTTAATTCTCCCTATAATATCCAAACATTATCCAACAGACAGGTAATGAGAATACTCAAACTTATCAGGTAGAAGTTGTTAACTTGATCCATCATAAAATTTTAGTATTTAATTCACCAGAAAATGTGTATCAGCTAGATGGGAGAATTAACAATCAGACCTTTGGAGACAAAGGGTTAATCAGAATGAAGGGCTGGAAAGAGGTTGACCTATGACCCCTTTTGGTAATTGCTGCCTCTAAGAGTCTGAAAGCTGTGTTTATCAAACCTGAAAAATCTCTGCTGTGCATGCAATATAGCGACAATAACTTCAACCCTTTACACCCTAACATCAGTATTCATATTCTCTACACTGTTCTCTGTACATTTACTAAGTTGCTGACAAGGAGAATTTGCTTAACAATCAAGAGTTTCTTTAGTTGGTGATCATTTCCTTTATTCTCATGACATTAATATGTGATTCAGTGATGATATTACAAGGAGAAATTTGATGCTAGTCACTCTTAGGGGTTAAACAGTTAAATGAAATGCTAACTGTAAACTGACACATGATAGCGCAGCAAATACATGACTTTGTATTACTGCCTACTCTGTAAGTTTTTCCGAAACTTTACTTTCTTACTTTTGATGGCTGACTTGATCCTTGTGGTTTATTGCCTATAAACAGAACAAGAAAATATACAAAAATATTAAAAATATATATATATAAAAATATAAAAAATATTAAAAAAGGGGAATCTGCATAGTATAGCTAATTTCCTCTTTTTTTTTTTTATACAGGCAATATGTTTGTCTAGCAATATAGAAATATTATAGCTTCACTCAATTGCTGGCGAATTCAGGGAGCAATACTCTCACATGTTAACTATATATTTGATGTTGTTGGTGTGCCCTGGATAATAATATGGTTAAGGTAAGAACAAGCCATCTACTCATTAGTTGAGATAACTTGCCAAATGTTATTACCTTTTTCAAGTTGATCAACTCGTAGTGTGAGCTTCTGAAGGGCAGTCTTGAATTCTTCAGTGACTGTGGAAGATCAATCACAACATATATTGTATTTCAGTAATTGGAGAATGTCGTCCAATACCAGTATGTTATGATATGGTCAGGCAGAGTTGAGTGACAAGGAGAATTATGGGACAGGTCTTCAATCCAGGGTGGATAACAAGCTTGGTTGTTTGATGGAATCTGAATTGAGAGATTTGAGTTTGAGCCCTCACCAGATTGCTGCATTGTGTTCTTGACAAGTTACTAATCTCTCTTACAGTACCTCTCTTTACTTAAAAGTATAGATGGATACAGAAATTGCTGGGGGATGGGGGAGGACCTGCCATAAAAACTTTCATCTCCTCTTGCAATGTTTGAATAATAATGACAATAATACCTTTCTTAAGTTCACGGTTTTCTTCCTCTAACTGAGCAATACGATTATTTCCTCCAGCAGAAGCCGTTGTGGAAGTTAGAGCCTTAAAAGAATCACATAGGATGATGGCTAAACAGTGAGTAATAAAAATCATCTGAAAACCAATAAAATTGACATCAAATTGCCAGGAGCAAAATCTGGTACAAATCTTGATGAAAATATCTGCTGATGAAACAGCTCAAAATCCAGAATTTGGGCAACACCAGACACACTAGCATATCAAGTCTTTTGCCCATCAAATTCAGTCATTTACTTTGCTGTCAGGATCATTGACAGAGTTCTTGCTTCTCAAAGAACCTCAGCAAACAAAATCTTGGAGGAACTGTGACCAGGATTTGGCCAAACCTCTTGGGTTTTTGGTAAGAGACTGACAGTTGGCAGAATCCTGTTGCTTGGACTTTCCTTCTTATCATTTATTACGAATGTTGAATTATCCGAGTCAAAGACACAGAATCATCTAATTTGGTCTTAGCTATAGAAAATTACCATAAGATAAAGGAAGACTAACTATTCAGATCACCAGTCAAATTAGGAGTTGAGCTGGAAAACCAAATGGACTCTTAGTAAAGATGGGGCAAGCTAAACATTAGCTTACCGTGTTTAGAGTCTGTTGGATTTTTTTACGGGCATTTGCTATCTCTTGGACTGGAGAAAAGCTTGAACCCTGAGAGAAAACAGAATTAGTTTTGAAAAGTTGGAAAGAACAGAAATGGAAATTAGAATGTTAAAACTATGCAAAGAGAAGAGAGGGAATGGAAGACAGCGAGGAGGAAAGAGAGACTGTATGGAATTACTGATGAGTGAAATTCTGAATGCATGCCAAGACTATGAGAAATTTGCACTCATTTGCTGGTGTATTCTTTTGTTGGTGATCATTTCCTTTATTCTTTCAACCTATAAGTGTGAGTCACAGTGATATTGTATGGAGAAATTAGATGCTCATCACTCTTGAGGGTGAAAGGTGTGAACTTTCAACCTCACATTCTTTCCATCTCACAGAAAAATCAACCACGACCAATCAGTTAACTGTTTGAAGAACTAATTTACACACTGAATAATTATAAATAGGGGTTAGTTTCTTAAGAAACTGTGGTGTTGCGTTGGCGGGAGAGTATAACAAGGTAATTTAGTTTTAATTAGTTTTAATTGGCCACTGAAAAGAGTTTAAAAGCTGACGTTTCGAGCGTTGGGCCTTCGTCAGAGCGATTTGATTACACACTGCATGTGTCTGATCAACATGTACACCGTAAATTTGCAACCATAATGCAATGAGTAACGTTGTATGAGAGAGTTAAATTGACTTAAGTATTACATATGCAATACATGCAATTAGTGCACGGGTGCGTCCAAAATATTTATGTCTAAAGCTCCAAGAAATTATCTCGCGTTCTTTAGTACATGCACTGTACCCATTTCCGTACATTCTCTGGCCGAGGGAGTGAGGAAATTAGTAAAACGAGAAATTCTGCAGTGTACATCTGTACGTGATTGTTTCAAGATGCCAAACTGCTTATGTATCCTCTCTTGAAAAAAGAAGCCTTTTCAATTACTCACTGTAGCAATTTAATTTGCAAGCTTACAAAATAATTTTAATATATTTGCTTCAACTGTGACAATGTTCAGACGCGTGGAGTCTGGCAAGCCAATAATACGTCAGATCTAGAAAATTCAATTTCACCATCTTGTTGATTCCTTGTGTACATGTACAATTAACTATTAAAATCAAGATTTATGTAGGGAGAAATATACTTTAATCACCTTTTTCTCTGTGCCATGTGATCCGCCGACAGTTCCGGCGAGAAATCTTTGATAATGTGCTTCTGCCTCCTCATATTTAGGCCTGTCGACCCAGATGGATTCACAAAGCATGGCCGCACTCATGTTGACTTTCAAACGAGAAATCAATTTAATCGACTTTCGCAGTCACCAACACACTCGGTTGCGACAAAGCTAGTAAGAGAAATAATTTTGTCTCAGATTTTTTTTCTAGTACCGGTTTCCAGATATGTCGCGAGATATGATTGGATAGCTTTGATAAGTTGGTAAATTTAACCAATCAGATGAGGCATAAGAAAATACACATGGTTGCTTCGCGGGCTCGCTTTAGATACCTGAAGGTTTGAGTTCGTTGCCACTAAAAAGTTTGTAGAGACGTGAACGAGTTCGGCTAATTATGCAGTCAACGAATAAAATTAATAGAAGTATGAACAGATTGTGACAAAAGGTAAGCGTAGAGGTCTTAGTTAAGAGTATAACCTGTAGTTTGCACATGGGTTGTTTGTCAATATTTTCAGGAAGTGCAAGCGAAATATACTTTTGAACCGCAAGTGTAGAGATTTCATTTTTTTACTTTTACAAGGTTAAAGCTACACTTTTTTAATCTTAAACTTATCTTAGTGAACCTGTAGTCTTAATATTTTGTTTAGACCATACAAAGTTGGAGTTGCTACTTTATTTCAGAGATATTCGAGGTCATGGGGGAAGATTTTAGTTCGGGACTTTTGGAGGGATCTTCTACTACATCTGGAGTACCCATTGAGCACCTGGACTATGGATACATAGAAAAGTGTTCTAAAAGCAAGGAACTGGAAAAAATTCTTAGAGTTTTGCGGTAAGAAACTGTTTTTGATTGTTGCATCTATTTCCGGTTTGCATCGTGTTAAGATCTGATCAACAGTCAATTCTCCCTATCCTATCATTGAGGTGCATATAAAGCCTCAAACACTTTTTTGTGGTTAGCATACAACTTCTCTCCCTAAAATTTCAATGTATTATACAGTTAACTGGTCATGAGAATCTGCACACTTATCAGTTCAAGGGCAGAAGCTTGATTAAGCACCATATTTTTGACTTAAGTTTGAGTCAATGTCTTGCCATATTATAGGAGAATAAGTACAAGGGTATATGAAGGGTGGTCCCTGGGGTGCCCCTGACCCCCCTCTTGTAAGTCATTTTTGTCACATAGAGTAAAACATGACATGGAGGTTGACATAACAATCTTCGACATGGTGTGACCCCCCCCTCCCCCCCCTTTTGAAAAATCCTGGCTACACTCCTGAAGTAGTCAGATCTTGTGAGTTAAAGGGAGTTGTGAGGTACTCCATATCATTAAATAGACATATTTCTCCTCCTTTATACCAAACTCCCACCTTCCTCCTTCTTCCTTCCTCCTTCTTCCTTCCTCCCATTGGGTACAAGGTTCAATAATTTGAACAATACGTTGGATTGAAATTCAGCCATAGCAGGAAAGAAATGTTTTGATCTTCTAATGGCAGACACTGACTTCTTCCCCTCCCTCTCTTTTGTCTTGCTGAATTTCAGGTCTGGCGAGGAAGGCCATTATCCAGAGCTTATCAAATTCACAGAGGAAAGATTACAGAAGGTAAATCCTAAAAGGTGAGTTTAGCAAACTCTAATAACCTTCTTTTGTAAGTCAGACTGAGGATGTTTGACTGGGGGGCTGTGTTCACTAAAGAGGTCATGGAAATCCAACCTAACAGATGTTGGTAAGTGGCCTAGAGAATGGAGTTAGACTGCAGATAACTATATTGTATTCTTTATCTGTGTCATCTACTTGAAATTAATGTTGTTATTTTCTTGTTATACATTTGAAGGGGTGCTGCTATTTTTGTTGATAAATCCTTATTGTATGAGACGTATCTTGGTTCTCTTCTCTCAATCTCTTTCTTTCTTTGATAGCAAGAGTCTTCGTAAAGAACTCCCCATCAACACTTATCGTGATTTGACTAAATCAGAGCACCAGGAGATAACAGATGACTTGCAGGTTTGTGTCTTGTTCTTAGTGTTTTCACCCACATGTCGATGAAGGGTTTGCACTCACAGAGGTGGATTCCAGCAATAAGTAATCTTAGTCCAGACTATGAAATGCAAATTACAAAGGTTGGAATCAAATCACTCAAATCCAGGCCTGTCAAAGTCTCAGCTAGGTATTGCCATTAGCTTATTTCGTGGCTCCCTGTAACTTCATTTTGAGTTATATTAGGAACCTAAGAATATGGAATGGTTTGATCATATGTATCTTATGGCTGTGTTCCTGATTATGACTTTTGTAAGATATGGGGTAAATACTGGGCTTGAGAGCCTCATTACATTTCTGACTCACTACCTTGCAAATACAGGCCTTAAATCAGTTTGTACCTTTAACCTAAACATTTTGCACTGCTTGGAGCCTTGCTCCTGTTATTGCAGCTTTAGATGGTAGTAGTTGAAATAGGGGTCATCCAGAGCTTTTGGAAATGTACATACCAGACAGAGTATTTCACTGCAGGAAACAATCAGACGGTAGTTTTCTCTCACACTGTGCTAATCACAGGCTATCTATTTTTTTTTCAGGATTGGATGGCAAATATCAATGAAGAGGATGAGGCATTGAAGAAATTAGGTGGAACTAAAGGAATGGAAAATGATAATCTTCCTCCTATTAGAACAGCAGCCAGAAGTGAAAAACCTCCTGCTGAGGTTTGTTTAAATATTGTATGGAATTCTCTGCATATGATAATGAATGATTTCTATAATACACTGCAGGATATGAACATTTTAGTCAGGATCTCATACACATGGTTGTAGACAGGGTTGTCAGAAAGCTTTGTTAAGGGAGCACACTGTAACCCTTTTTTTCCCCACTTTGATTGCTTACATAAATGATATCATCCATGAATGATTTTAGCATAATTTGGCCCATCTCTCTCATTAGCAGCCTCAAAAACCTACAGCTGAAAAGAAGAAGCCAGTGACACCACGTAGCTATCATGAATGGGACAGGTAAACGAACACTGCTTGAAATGTTACAGACTACTTCAGTCACATCCATCTGCATCATTGGCTGTGATGTGATGCACTGCAAATCTTCACACTTTGCTTTCCTGCATGGCAGGATTTGCCAGTTCAATGCCTCTGTCTTCAGATAGAAACTCTTGGTGGATTATATTCTAACAGCTGACGGAGGAGTTCTCTAGTTTCACAAGAAAAGTGATAATATCACCTCTTCCTCTAACCTCAGGCAGTGATTGGCAATCAAAGGTGTCTATGCCTGAGGTTCTCTGATTTTAGGGGATGATTCCCTTTAATTCCTTCCCATTACTTCTCCCATTAGAGTATATTTTATTTCCTGATTTTTGAGAGACTTTTTTTATTGGTAGAAAGTCCTGAATGCACTCAAGAAAATTTTGCATGTAAGTCTTGCTCTTTACTCAGAGGCTTCAGAACTAATTAAAGCTGACAATAATGTCAGTTTGCCCTTTTACCTTTTTATTCCTCAAGATTTGATCCTGATAAGGAGATAGAATCTTTGGAGAAACAAGAGGAGAAAGAAAAGAAAAAGATGCAGGAGAAAGTGAGGGCAACCAACAAGAATGCAATTTCAGCAAATGTGGATTTGACAGGTAATGTGCAGTTATGCTTGAGGTATATGAAACAAAATGGAGAGATTTGAATTTGAAGGCTGCTCTGACAGATTCAAAAATTGTAAACTGCTCAATACAGTCTGGCCAAATTCCCTTGCAAAGTGTTGTTAAGTGCCATGAGCTGATGGATATGGTGCTATATAAATACTTCATAACTATTATTATTACAAGTACTTTGTTCAACCCTTTAACTCCCATAATGACCAAGACATAATTTCTCCATACAAGATCATGCAGACAAGTGATAAGAAAAAAGAAAGATATCAATTAAGGGATTATTAGTTGATCCAATACCAAATTCTCTAAACTAACATCACAAGAACTATATGACAGACAGTAAGGAGAATTACAAATGAGATCTTAGGAGTTAAAGGGTTAAGATGAGTCACTAAATAAAATGAAGACACATGGGGTAGTGATTAACTTGTTGGAATTTTTATAGAAAGGTCCAGGTTTAAGTTCCATCCTAGATTACTGCAATGTGTTCTTGGATACTTAGGTAAAATACTCTAAAAAAAAAAATCAAGTATTACACTTGGCGAATGCATGGGACATTTCATTTCATTTATGTATTCTATGGGGATAGTTGGCCAAACTAAATATTAACAGTGATTGGACATTTTTTAATCAATTCTTTTATTTATCTCCTCCACTGTTAACTATGGTATGGTAAAGTCAACCCATCTGGCCACTAATATCTCTAACAGTTTCTCTAGCAGGGCATAATTAGGGCTACAGTTGATAGACAGTTCATGGCATGCTATCCCCAAGCAGTTTTGCCATGGGTCTAGGGAAGCACTGAGGGAGACAATTGTCTTGCCTGGTGCTAGGCATAAGGATCTACACAGAATACTGACCATTATGCTTGTGTCTCCTACAAATTTATACTGCTTGATAACTACCTTGTCATTATAATTCTTTTTCAAGATTCTTTTCTTTTCCTCTCTACATTGACAGGAAAGAGTGACACGGAGAGGAAAATCCTTGCTACCAGAGAAAAGGAGAAAGGAAATGAAGCATTCCAGAGTGGCCATTACTCTGAAGCTTTGACCTTTTACTGCCGAAGCATTGAACTGGATCCAAAAGCAGCAGCAGTATACAACAACAGGGCACTTGCAGGTATAAAGTGCTCACAGTGCACCCACTGATGATGATAAGAAATTAAAGTCTTTCCTGTTATTGTCAAAATATTGTTCCTTCTGATGTGAATTGTATAGTTTCAACTGCTTGATGTACATAAGCTTTCTTCTGGAAATGAAGAAGAAGGGATACATGTCACCTTTTGGTGAAAAGTGTGTTGTCATTTTAATTTAATAGCATATTTTCTTTATCCTAAAGAAATTAAACTTGGAAAGTTCCAAGAAGCTGTTGATGACTGTGATCATGTGCTTAGTATAGAACCCAAGAATGTAAAAGGTACTACATTTAATGATTCACAATAATTATCTTCGCATCCAACTGTATTTGTTTCCAATAGTTAAATTATGAAGGGAAAAGCTATCCATCTTGAAAAATGTAGGCTGGTAAACATTTTGTTTTAATGTTTCGGTGTGCAATCTGTGTTTTTCTTTGTGATTCACAATCATTCTTGTTACATTTTAGTTTATAGTTTCCACCTTTGTGAATTATTATTCAATGCTTCTTTGAATGATGGACATTTTTACAACATCCAAACGAGTAATTGTGACTATCACAAAATGCTTCAGAAATCCTTTCATTTTGAAGGAAATACAAAGCTAACCTATTACCTTCTGTCAGCTGGTATTTGAAGTAAGGTCATGCACTGAACTCTCTTTCGCTTTTGTTTTCTAAGCTTACTTGAGAAGGTCCATTGCTCATCGAGGGAAAGGGCTTAATGAAGAAGCCAGGAAGGATCTTAATCAAGTGCTTTCTATTGAACCTAAAAATAAACGAGCCTTGGTATGTGTTGATAAAAATTTTATCATATTTTTGTCATTCTCTGTCATTTAGTGGTATGTATAAATCAGAGTAATTTTGCTTCAATTAGTTACTGCTGATTTGTTTAAACACAGGAATTGCTTGATGAATTAAAAAAGAAAGAAAACAGGTAACTATTGTTGTGTAGTGTAAATTAAGAATTATGTTTTTGTGGTTCTTGTTGATTTGTTCTGGAATGTTATATTTCTATATTTATCACTATTTGAAGTGTTTTATTTGCATAAGACTCAAAACTTTTTCCTATCAACATAATGTTCACATCTGTGAGTGTTTTCTTATTATGGAGGTTATCAGTAATTTAAGCCTTTAGCGCTTCAGATTGTTTATCACGCTGTCGAGCACAGGTATGGTGCCAACTTCCGAGGTTGAGAAAAACAACCAAATGAAAATAAAAAGCGTAGCTTTTTGGTAATAGTAGTTAGTTGGAGTTGTTGTAGAAAGTAGTTGAAGCTGGAGTCAGAGTTGAGGTTAATTAGAGAGAAGTTTACTGTGATTCGAGGCTTATGGTACATGTAGCTTCCGCTCAGCGAGCTTGCTTAAAGTAGACAACTCCTAACATCTCAACAATGTTTATCGCTGCCTCACATTTGACTGTTATTACTATTTCGCTATGGATTTAAGTTTGATACATGTTGTACAAGTATTAGTTCGTGAAGTGTTTTAAGTTGAGAGTATCCGACCTATTTAGATTCGCGCGTATTTTTTAACACAGTTTTCAAAAGCCACAGAGGAACTTCTTTTTCGTTTTCACATGGCCTCGTCTAAGCACGAAAGGGTGAAGGGGGTAAGCTAGGAAGGAGGTTGGGTGAGTAGGGGGGGAGTGGCACAGGGAGAATTCTGTGCGTCTTTTTACTTAGGTTTTTTTTTACTTCTGTTTTAGTAAAAGTGAAGAACACAGCAAGCTTGGTGGAAAATCAGCGGAATCGCACCAAGACAAAAGTGAATTAAATGGCTCTGAAAGTACTTCTTCTAATAATCATAGTTCTGTTAAAACAGAAAAAGTGTCGTCAATGAAACCCAAAGGAAAAAGGATGAAAATCATCGAGGTTGCGAGTGAAAATGAACCAGAAACTTCTGCAAAATCAAACGAGGAAAGAAATATTAATGGAACGTCAACTAAATCATTTACTCATCCAGCAGACAAAGCAGAAGCCATTCAAAGAACTATGGATGGTGAAGGAGTGCAATCGAGCGGTAAGGAAGAAGTTAAAAAACAGCCCCAACTACCTGGATTAGTGCAGAAGGCTCAAGAAGATGCCACACGACTGTTTAAACTGGGAAGATTTGCTGAGGCAGCGGAGCAGTTTACAAAAGCTATTGATATACTGAAGCAAAGTAAAGAAGGTACGGATTGATATTTTTGATTATGATTATTTCAAAGTTATTGAACATTTCAATGTAGCAACTAAGTTAAAAACGTAAAGGATTTCAAGGGAACTCCTTCATGTTATGAACCATACTGTTCACAGAGTCTGTGCTCGGTAATATTTGACTGAAACCCTGAACTTCTTTGGACAGATTGAGCTGCTGTAGTCCTCTTAAAACCGACTCCAGGACATGTCAGATACTTACGGTATTCACATGACTCAGAGGAACGAAACAGAACAAGTTAACTTCACTGGCAGATTGACTCCTCTACTAACTATGAACTAACGAACGATACTCGGCACTTACAGCTAATGACAACACTCCGAACATAGCCAATACTTTTTCACGAACCAACATTCAATTGGGAAACAACTCCTCACTTGACCCAGATGATGACTTCCACTTAACACTCCAACCCCTAACTTCTTCTTACAGCATCATCCTTGAATCAAACATTACGGTCTTGATGAGAAAAGGAAATGATCGCTTACGAAAGAGGCTGTTAATCTTTAAACAAATTTTGTTTTAGTAACAGGCAATGTATAGACAACAATATGGATAAACTACAATTTGATGTCAGGGTGTAAAGGGTCGCTATCTCCGCTAGCAGTCATTTTTCAGAACTACCATCAACTGGAAGATCATAAAACAGGATCAGTTGAGTTGTTTTTGACTATTCTTATCCGCAGAGAAAGTCGTATCCCGTCACGCCATGTGTGCTTTGCTGTGTAACCGTGGCTCGTGTATGATCAAGATTGGTGACTGTACTAGTTGTATAAATGACTGTACATCTGCCTTGGAGGTTTCACCGGGTGCTTTCAGACCACTCCTCAAACGAGCTGAAGCATACGAAATCTTAGAAAAGTAAGAGGTTCTTTTAGTTTGATTTTGATACTTTCAAGCACAAAATTCAGACATGAGGCGTTCAAATTTGTACACGTTACGAAGGATCTCTTGCGAGAAACAAGTGGTACCTGTAAGAGTTAGTCATGCAGCTCGCGAGATCGAAACGCAAGTGGAGGAAAGCGCGAGGAAAGCGCAAGGAAAGCGCAAGGAAAGCGCAAGGAAAGCGCAAGGAGAGTGTAAAGAGCCAGTAACGCGCGAGAGGAGGAGCTCCTTCCCCTCGTGTATCTCACCCCTCGCGCGCGCTTTCCTTGCACTTTCCATACGCTTTCCTTGCGTTTGCCTCCGTTCGCGTGAAAAACGCAAACGTGAGACATGACACCATTAACTTCTGCGTTCTTGATTGTTGTTGTGCCAGGTTCGACAAGGCTTGGCTGGATTACCAAATGGCGCTGAAAATCTCCCCTCAAAACAGCACTGCATTAAATGGAAACTACAGGTGATAACTTCATGAAGGTTTTTTTAAATCTAAGAGGACATAAATAATACTTTTTCGTTTTGTTATTCTTCAATTTTTCCATGCAATAATTACCATATGTTTTCTCTGTACACTGAAGTTATTTAGTGTAATATGCCCTTGCGAAATTTTTTTTTGGGGGGGAGGGGGGGTGTTATTTTTCGCCCCACCATCTTGCTACACGTGTTCATTGGTCTATCTTTAACTTTTCAATTTGCAAACGTCTAAATACGTCAACTTTGGCAGCAAAAGAGTGACTTTGATTCAACTTGTGTAGGACTTCAAAACATCTAGAACGTCGGTTTGGAACGAACTGGAGAGGGAAAGTTTCCCCAATGGAATACTCACCAGTGATCAAGTCTTCTGTAGCGCCGCCTACCACTGACAGCTCATCAGCTCACCCTACCCCTACACAGTCAGCTGAAGAAGCCACAGACCAACTCCATCCCTCCCCTCCACAAGGGATAACCGAAAGCATGCCAACCACCACTCATCCTACTGTGGAGGCCCCTGTTGATCCAGCTGTGAGGTTTGCACAGTGTAAAGAAGAAGGGAATTCGTTAGTAAAACAGGTAGATAACGTGTTACTTTTGTTGCTGTTGTTTTTATGCCAGAGTGTGTTTATATGTTTCCTTATGTTACAAAAACGAAGTGCTGCTTTCGCTTTTGTGTACTTTTGTTTGTTTGTGTTTTTTCATTTACTTTTATCATACGCATTTTGTAATTAAAAAAAATCTTTTACGTGATAGAACGTGTAGTCGATCCTTCGTGCAAATTTTAAATGTACTTAAAATCCAAGGTATATTTTTATTTAGAGCAAGGGTATTTCTCCTTTTCCCGTAACAGAACCGCTGCGAGGAAGCTGTTGCGCGATACACAGAATGCATTAATATTGATCCCATAAATGTAGCAATTCATACAAACAGAGCACTATGTTACCTGCGACTCAATCAGGTAAGAGGCTGAACCCTGTTAAAAGTTAAAATTAAAAGTTCTGCATACTTGTATTAACCTTATTTTTATATTCCTCTAGAGAGAACGGACCTCTCTTTCGTCTAGCAAACATTGACTATTATTTCTTTTACTTATTTATTCCAAATTTTTTATTATTATTTGGATTCTCTGAAAACTAATCAGTTTCCTTTTGTCTCAAGCACGAGCTGGCAATCGATGATGCAACAGAAGCTCTGAGACTTCAACCTGATAACGTGAAGGCTCTTTTCAGGAGAGCACTCGGCAAAAAGGTTTGTTTCATTGCCGAGAGAGAAACATGTAGGGTATGACCTTAATGGTTGGATTAATGTGATTCAACCGCAAATGACAAGAAAACAAGAGAGAAAGAATGACGCCTTTTTTTTCCTTTTAAAAAACTTAACACCCGAAATAGCGGGAAAGAAGGTTCCCACTGACTCACGCTTCGTGAGGCTTACAGCTGGTAAATAACAGCAAACTGACTAATCACTTTCCACTAACCGGACTGATAACACTCAACCGACCAAAAATCTCATTAGACTTCTTCTTTATGGTTACTTCTGGTCGGTTTGTGAACACATCGGTCACCACCCCCCACAGTAATCCTTTCCTGGACTATTCTTGTACAAACAATCAGACTACACGCCCTAGTTCAAACCGTATACAGTAGTTGGAAGAAGTTGCTCATCGTGCTTCAAGTTGTATCGATTTCAATGTGTTAGTTACTGTGTACCACATATTAAGTGCTGAATATTTTTTTCAACCAACTATAGTGTTCGTAACAGTCTGTAGTCATGACAATTGTTGCTCTGTTGGTATTTGACAGGCGTTAGGGCAGTATGATTCAGCTGCAAGAGACTTGTTATCCCTCCAGAAGATTGAACCGAAAAATGCTGCCGCCAAGAAAGAATTAAAAATTGTTCTTGAGATGTGCCGTAAGGTATTCCAACAAGACTCTGTTTTCATTAGTGCTGGGATATTGTCCACCTGCAATAAGATACCAAATGAACGCTTTGTACTTGCGTTTACGTATTTCAAGTTTTTTTCTTTCATAATTAAAAAAAAAGAAACTCAAACTGTGATCATGTTCACTTTTGGCAGGAACGCAGGTCATCACACGACAAAAATGCAAAACTTAAAGAAAGAAAAGAGGAAAAGAAAGCCGAACAACAGGCACCGAAAATTAGTCACGAAGAGACGAAAACAAAATGGAAAAGAGTAACAATAAGGGATGTACAAGATAGAGACCACGAGGTAGGTCGAGTAAACCCCCCTCCCCACCCCCACAAAACACCAAAAAAAGGTGTCTTTTCCGGACTCTATTTTTATCTGGATCGAGTTCCTTTTAACTGGTTATGGAATCTCCTTTTGAGCGATGAGAACAACGAGATTTTACCTGAATATTGTCAAGCCCAAAAACGACTAACGCGTAAACAAGTTTGAGTAATACAACGGTTTTTTTTCCTCGCACCCCAACAACGTATGGGTGTTCGAGGATGGTACAACGAGAGAACGCTAAAGGAACCACATCTCCCTTCTCTTGTTTGTGTCAGGTCTTCAGCACGCTATCCAATAAGGATTGTGATTTCAGAGTTCACTTCCCGCCGTATAAGCCTCTGGTGTGTTGAAGTCATACTTGACCCTTGCGTATCACTTCATGATAACGGAATGTGCTGCCTTCCCGT